GGACAACGACCACTTCGCATTGCAAGGTGGACTGCTCGATTGCTGCGTTACAACTTCGTTGTACAGTTTCAACATGGGGAACACCACAAAGTAGCGGATGCTTTGTCCCGGCTTCCTGTACCAGGCACAGAAGATGTCGTTAAGATTGAAGAAGAAATATTGTTCATGGTAAAGTCTTCAGTTTATATCAATAACCATCATATTGCCACAGCCGGGGATTGCAACTTGCAGCAGGTTGCATAATTTGTTCAGGCTACACGGCCAACTAAGAAAAAGTTGTCACGTGAACTAAGATCTTACTATGAGATGCGAGAGGAACTGTCTATAGTGGACGGCCTGTCGACGCGCTCGGAATGCATTGTAGTTCCAGCCAAGCTCACAGCTATATTCATTTAACTAGCCCATGAATCGCACCCGTGAATAGTGAAAACAAAGCACTGTCTTCCTGAAAAGCACTGGTGGCCAGGTCTGAACAAACAGGTTGAGAGTGCTATCCACAGCTGCGCAACCTGCCAAGCTGCAGACAAGCATGTTAGGAGCTACCCTACTGTTGTAGGGCCATTTCGTTGTAGGGCCTATGTTGTAGGGCCATTTCGGTGTGCATCAGCTGACTGTCGTTTTGTCATTTCTGTAACCGATTACTTCTCAGAGTGGCCGGAAACAGCTTTCTGCCGTGAAGCCTCCTCCCGTACAGTGCTTGGCTTCCTCTTGTCGATATTTGCACGGGAAGGCTATCCGGCTGAACTCGCCTCGGATTACGAACCACAGCTTACATCTCAAGAATTTGAGTCCTTTTTTCAAGACAGGGGTATCAAACACAGCGTTTCGGCTTTATATCACCCCTAAGCCAACGGACAGGTCGAAAGGTTTAACAGTGTTCTCAAATTATACATTCAGTTGGCAGTAATGGAGAAGCGTCCAATAAAAAATACTATTACAGAGTACTTGAGAATCTACAGAGCCACTTCTCACAGTACCACTGGACTCTCTCCGGCAGTGCTTCTACATAGCCGGTCTACGAGGACATCCTTGGATGTCATTAGCTATTATATCACTGCGAAGTTCTGTACTTCTTTGCAGATCTCGCTAAGGAGATGTCCTCACTTCGGGAGAGGATGAAAGAACGCCAGCGTAAAAGCAAGGATTATGTTGAAAGGCGCAGAGCTGCCCAAGTCCCCAAGTTCCAAGGTGGAAAGTATGTGAGGGTCAAGAAGCCAGTCCCTGGTCTGAAAAACACTCCAACTTTTGGACCTCCTTTGAAAATTTTCAAGTGAACAGGACGCTGGTCCTTCTGACTTGGAGATTGACACACGTGAAATGCCTCTCAATTGACTGCAGTTCCCGAGGAAGCCTTGCCACACCATGCGCTAATATGGGATGACGGGAGTGTTGCCAACGCCGCCGTGTGAATTCCACCGACGCCTGGCAAAATGACTCGCTTTTCTGAGCTTCCCCAGCACACTGCTCCTAATGATGATGATCGTGATGGTGATAGTGCACTGCATGGTGATGGTGATAGTACTACAGTGCATGGTGATGGTGACAATACTCCAGTGGAAGGTGATGGGGATTGTGCTCCAGTTGTTGGCACCAAACCGGCTGGTGAGCCACCACCTCTTCGTAGGTCCGCAAGAATCCAAAGACAACGCAAGAGATTTCAGGACTATGTATAATCTATTATGATGTGAAAATTAACTTTTTTTTTGTAATTATTTTTTAAATAAATATGTTTTTATTTAGGGAGGAATAGATGTAGTGTTGAAGGTCGACACTATGTGACCTTAGTTATGTTCAACTGTCATCAAGAGATGGTGCCACTTCTGACATATATCAATACAAGTGTCACAGGAATAAATCGATTCTTGTGTTGCATGGGTTGAGCGTGTTCACTGTCCTCAGTCACGCCGTGTTGCTGACACTAGAATCTGGCATAAATGTAAATGTTAGGCTTGTGCGAATATTTGAATGCTTCGAATTCACTTGAAATAAAATTTAAATAATTTATAATTTCTCAACACTAATGAAAAAATCTATATTAATCTGTATGTAATCTCCTGTAAAACTGGTTTCACAGCAGTGAAGGTGAGCTGAACCATGAAAAAATTAAACCTCTGTAAACGTTGTTTCACTGCAGTGAAGTTACGTTAAACCAAGAAAACACCTATTAAAAAAATCCGCAATGCCACAAAGCCTCACTTCAAGGTTAAACGAAGATTTTAAGTTCACAAGCTTGTTCTACTGGCTTACATGCTCCAGGAAATGCACATCTTAAAACGTAATATATTTTACTGGTTATCAGTTGGATTCTACCGAAAGTCCAATACTGCTACTATTCTAAGTTGTTTCAAGCTCCTTTGAAGCAGAAAACTGACATTCGCACAGGCCTTGTTTCAAGTATTTAAAAATATTCTGCAGCTTAGTTATAACATGACAAATACACTGAAACCTCATTATAATAAAGTGGCATCTTATGCTAAAATCGTTTTGTTATATCCGAAACTTCGTTATAAAAGCTATAATATTTCTAGCACTACCTGTTGCAAGACTATTTTTCATTTACTTCGTTATTACCGATGATTCATTATATCCATGTTCATTTTACCACCAGGTGCACTTGCAATGAACTGTTTTCATTTTTAATAAACTACTAGAGAGCTTGCACTTGCGTTGTTTCAATCTTTCCTTGATCCTCTTCTAGCATCCCGTATCGCATGATGAGTTGCTTTGCACGTGTAAGGTCCCTATACTTAAGGTACAGAGGCTCATCTATTTTTTTGTTTTTATTTAGCATGTTTTTTTTTTTTTGAATTATACGAATTACAAGGAGACACCCAGGAGCCAGCTTTAATAATTATAATCACTCATGCGAGATGAAGACATCGAGATAAGTAAATCATTTCACCGTAAGAGCCATGGAAAAGTTTATCATGGTGTAGTGGCTGCTCACTGTCATGTCGAATATCTTGTTATACTAAGCGGTATTATCATAAGTGGCTTCAACTTTTTAACCTCAAGGCTGTATTGATGATAGTCAAATCCCACTACAGTCGCCGACCGTTTATTCAAATGCTGAAAATTCGGACATGCCTGCTTATTCGGACATCTTCATGGCACCACCACTCTCCCCATTGATCCCGGGAATTCGGACGCCCCACTGTGCGCCATTCGATTATTCGGACTCCGTTTGACTGACCAGATGCATCGCCATACGCCATTACACGCTGACAGCGACGTTAACAATAAGTTTGCTAGGTTTCCAGCACTGATATGCTGCACTAGCTATGAATGGATGTGGGGCCAGTGTCAAAATGCACGTAGAAATTGCCATTGCCGATCTCGAAGGCTATGTGTGGCGACGTTTTTTATTTTTTAGCCAGTCGAGCGGCCAAGCTAAGCCACCAACAGAGTCTGTTCTTTGTGGCGTTTAGCGTGTGTCAGCAGTGTCAGTCAGCTGCTTCTGCGGCTAGGCCTGGTACGTCTTGTTCTCAGTGTTCTCACTCTCTTGAGTGTTCCGTGGCATGCTGAAATGGCTCCGACGCCACCCGTTTCAGCGCCGTCGGGAGTGAATAAATGTGGTCAGCATGGGAGCTACAAGACGCTCACGATGACGAAGAAAGAGGAGATAATTCACCAAGTAGAAGGCGGCCGACCTCAGTCTGAAGTGGCTTGAGAATTTGCTATTTCCAAGCAAACCGTCTCGGAAGCGTGCGTGTGTGCAGACATAAAAGTTTTTTCGGGTGATAGGGCTTATAAGTGCTTTTTTTTTCTGACTAAATACGTTTTTTCGGACTCCCGATTATTTGGACTTTTTGGCGGTTCCCGTCGAGTCCGAATAAACGATCGGCGACGGTACAATGAAATTAACAGGACATGTGAAAACACATGACATTTGCCACGAAATTTTGTAGCAGCAAAATTTCATCTATAGACCATGAAAGTTGGAGAGATGTGAAGCTAATGACTCCTCTTTTGGTCGCAGCAACCGTATGCATCGAACTTTTGCTAACTCAGACATACATGGCCACACGCAGAGTGAACGTATTTTCTTGCATATAACATGCACAAAATATATGAAAAATTTGGGGCTATATTGAGGGTGCAAGTTATACGCAATTTCAGTGTGCAAGTTGGCTTCATGGCATGCTTTCATGGTCATGTAAGGAAAGCAGCCTTGAGTCAATATGTGGATATCTTTTTCTTTTTCTCGCGGTTTGTAGTGAGGGTGCTACTTATATGCAGGTATGAGTTATGAGAAAACACATTGCAAGCTACCCTCAAAGCACGTCAAGCTTTACTAGACGCCAACAGAAAGCCTTTAATCTTAGGCTGTGTTAGCTGTGTACCTTCAGAGCACATTTTCTATCGAGGATCGAGACGATAGCGACTGCACAGCGGTTGCTGCAAATAGTAGTTCCCTTTTCAATCTGTGTATGCTGGCCATGTACACGCTTCAGAACTGCATCGTTTCTATCTGTGATCACGTCTACTGGAGTTATGTCCGCAGCGTAGCGACAAGCAGCATTGCTTTGAGTCGGTGCGCTTTAGATGCGCGCGTATGTTTGTGGTCGCCAATGACAGTGTTGACATTACCGCATTTGTGTATGCAGCAAATGTGGCAGAATACAATACAGATGGACTAGATGCCTGCTTTACCGGGACGTCTATGTGCTGGCAGAAAGCATGTCTTTGACCAAGACACGGATGTTGCGACGCTGCTTCAGAGCTCTGTTGGTCAGCAGCCACAGAGAAAGTGTCAAGCGAAACTGCACAGCAACCTTAGGCAAGTTCCTTTTCCTTACATGGCAGCACCCGCCAAAACTTGAAGTGGGTGTATGCAGGAAAAGTATTCGTTGTGAAGAGACTTTTTGTATTGTTTTCAATTGGATGGCAAACGAGGAATCGAAAGTTATCAGTTATAGCGGGATTCAACAACATTGGGTTCCGGTCACCATGAGAGAGTACGTGGGTAGGAAAAGGCACACATGAAAACATTAGCTCACCAAGACCCCAAGCCGCTGCTGATGCCATGCGAGCCATCTTTTGTTGGTTGCCGTATAAACTATTGCCCCAGTTTTCACTTGCCAACTGGTAGAGCTGTTCCCTACGTATATAGAAAAAAAGACATATTGCTTTTTATGCACTGCAGCCACAATTCAAACTATTTAAAAACTTTCATACCACTCGCCAAGAACTTCCAGACACCTCATCTGGCCCAGGATGAGTTCTACGTCATCCGGCTTCTGCTCTCGTGCCCTTCCATAAACCCTCAGTGCGTTCTCCCAATCATGTAGCTTCTCATACCAGCGCTCCTTCACTCTCTGCAGACAACAGGGTGGCACATGTTAGTTTGGAAAATTTAATGAGAAAATGTGAATTGAATAAAAGCAAATGCTTTTCAAAACATAATACACTGGCTAAGAAAATATAATGTAAGCACCTAGCAAGCACAAAGCAAAAATAAAAGAAGAAAGACAACAAACCAGATCTGTTGCATGACACTTGGTTGCATATTCCAAGACACCAGCAGCAGCTTCTGGCTGCTGCAACTTGTTGTTGATGCTGTCCAAGGGAGCAAAGACAAGTACTTAGAGAAATGGAACCTCGAACAACATGTTTCACAGAAATCACATAAGATCTGACATGAAGAACGAAGAAATTGTTTCACTGGTGCAAACTTGAGCCGATAGAGCTCACGTCCCTGTCTCTATTCTAACACATGACATGCCTGTGTTGACCTTACACAATGCTTCTGACAACATTTCCTGGCAAATACGTCAGAGCAAGTTTATGTCCGCGCTCTGAAAGCACTTGCTAGGAGCTGTAATTTGCAGTGAACTAAAAGGCCACTATGGATACACGATTAGGTTGTTTCATTATACTGTATTTACTTGCATAATTAGTACACTCACATAATAATTTCACCCCCAATATAAACATCTAAAAGTTTGAATTAAAAAAAAATCTCACATAATAAATCCAACTGCACCAAATCCAACTGCAATAAAACCATGCAGAGTCGAGAGTTCAAAAAAAGTCAAATGACCTGATGAGGAAAAAGAACATGGGGTTCTTCGGCCAGTACGATCAAGGCACTAGTATGGGTTCTGGAAACATATCTGAGTTTTCAACTATACTTTGTGAGTGGCTGCACCGTATTCCTCATGATTTGGAAAAAAACTGAGCATATGTGCTCTAACGTCTGATTTATTTACACACTGGCCCTTTTACATATTGCAGAACCAGGCAAGCAGCAATTTCTTTCCCACAAACCTAATCAGAGCTTCCAGCACTTCAGTGGTAGGACCCCTGTGAAATTCATCCTCCTTGTAGTGAAGTGCTTTGGCGTACGCACGACATTTTTGGGCACGCTCACCGAGCAACTTCTGATCGAGAGGAAGTGGGCCCTGCAGAGAAAGAAGGAGCTGCAACTAGGATCTTGAAACGCTGATCAGTACATTTTCCTACGCTAAAAAGTACATCAGAATCAAATACTTTACATGATATTTTATAACATAGGCATGCTGTATCAGACATCTGACATATTTGCATTAGTTATTCATTTGCCATGTAGACATAATGAGAGTTGAAGGGCTCCTTTTTATTTGTTAGATTCAGACAATAAACAGACAATGAAGTCAAAGAAGCTATAGGGGACTTGATTTGTAGTAACTACAAGATAAATGTGAAGAAATTAAAGCGGACGAAAAGACGACTTGCTGCCAACAGACACCAACCTTCGAATAATGTGCCCAATGCTTCACCAGTTGAGCTACAGTGGCAGTTGTCCTCCCATACACTTTATCGGGCTTCCATTCTCCCAGGTTTTAAATGCACAGGTACACCCGACACAGTGTACAGGACGACGACCACCCTTAACTCAACTGATGGAGCATCGGACACTTTTTCGAAGGTGGCACGTTCGGTCCGTGCTGACGGAAAGTTGTGTTTTCGCTCACATTACTTTTTTCACATTTGCATTCTAATTACCACAAATAACAACCCCTATACTTTCAATGACTTGATTGTCTGTTGGTTGTCATTCATTTGCAATGTAACCAACCATAACTAAAGATACATTCAGGAGAAAAGCTATATTTTTTTTGTATTATTAAATCACCGTTTCAAAATTAAAAAAGCATAACTCACTACGAGAAGTAAGCGAGAAAACACTAGAAAGAAACAGGGAGTGGTGACGCTGCCTCAAAACTGGCGCAACAGCTCACCTTGATCCCTTAGATTTCAAAAGCATCAGCTAGGGCCGAGGCAATTGTTTATCAGTAAAAACTGCTTACATGGCGACATAAAAAGTCCTAACAAGTTTGAAAAGCTAATGTGGCCTCAATATAGAAGGAGACTGAAATTCATGACTATACAAGGGTGTCCAAGCAAAATTCAAGAATTAAAATTTAATCCTGTTCTACCAATTGTGCTACAATAGCAAGATTAATAACAGCAGAGATATTTAAAAATAATTTGTCTGTACTGATTTCACGTTCCTTTAAGATGTGGAATTTGACTGGAGTCTGTGCTGTGGGGGGCCCAACAAGACTGTTGGCCCAACAGTGGGCCCAACAAGGCTCTCAATCTGACTTGGAATTTACAAATAATTCTCCAAGTTAGCTAAAAACGACTCTTCTTTCATGACCGCACCATAAACACAAAGTCCACGGACATACTAACTCAATTGAGCATCGCGAGATCGCAGCCGCTGCCACGTGTGCACTTGCAATCACATTAAAAGTAAGTTGCACGTTAAAAAAAAAAGGAAGTGCTCACTGGGGGTGCAAATGGGCTCCACTTATTTGGAGTAATGCAGGGAGCAGGAATAATGCTGTTTTCATGCAGTGAAAGCCCGTTTTGGAGCCCATTTCAAGACAAACATCGTTCTTAATTTACACATTATATTTCTCATACACAAATATGGTTTCAGAGTTATTTAATCTCCCCATAGGCCCCGTGCATCAAAATTTGAACAGACACCACCGGCCTATATTGGGTGAGGAATAAGGGGAGGGGGGCTTTTTATGATGATGCCATTGGTAGTCAACATGTTAGCACAGCACAAGAAAATGAGGCTCTAGAACGGACACAACACAGGCACTGACTTCAACTAAATTTCATAATAAAATAAAATTTAGTTGAAGCCAGCGCCTGTGTTGTGTCTGCGCTATGTCTTCGTTTTCTTGCACTATGCAAACATGTTGATTCCAAATCACCAACTAGCTCAAGCATCTGTTTCATCACGCCATCTGTAGAGAAGAAAAATACAGCGAAATGCCAATTTTTAGTACATGCTCAGGAATTCGGATACTTTCCTAGTATTGCCACAAGCTTCATAGACCTCAACGTATTGCTACATGCATATTGACATTCTATACGGCTATGCCTGATGAAGAGGACGAAGGGCTGTCTCCGCAAGTTCGCTGGTTAACCGATCACGCCGCTACTGCTGGCTATAATATTATAACCGGGGTGAGAGAATGAATGAAATAAATATATTTACAAAATATACAGGAGGAGTAAGAGTCAGCCAAGATGGAGAAACAACAGCAACAACAACACGAGCGTGATCGCACTAATCGTCTTCGTCGTCTACCTGATGCTTTCTCGTTGCTGATGTCGTGTAACATATAACCCCCCACTGCCGGTAGTGCCGGCTCGGCGCCTAAAGGAGAGTAGGGTCATATGCGGAGATGTATGGTTTCAGACGGGACACGTGGACGACGTCAGTGGCGAGTGCGGACGGCGACGACTGACTGTCCAACGGAGCGATCTCATATGTGACCTCAGTAAGCCGGCGCAAAATCTTGTAAGGCCCCAAGTAGCTGATTGATTGATTGATTGATTTATTTGTGGGGTTTAACGTCCCAAAACCACCATATGATTATGAGAGATGCCGTAGTGGAGGACTCCGGAAATTTTGACCACCTGGGGTTCTTTAACGTGCACCCAAATCTGAGCACACGGGCCTACGACATTTCCGCCTCCATCGGAAATGCAACCGCCGCAGCCGGGATTAAAACCCGCGACCTGCGGGTCAGCAGCCGAGTACCTTAGCCACTAGACCACCGCGGCAGGGCAAGGCCCCAAGTAGCGAGATAGGAGCTTCGAAGAGAGGCCAACGTGGCGGCATGGTGTCCAGAGGAGGACCAATTAACCTGGAGAGAAGGAAACTACTCTTTGATGGCTATCTTAGCGGGCCTTAGAGAGCTGCGAGCCAAAAAGACGTTCCCATGCGATTTGGCGGGCCACTTGAGCCCGAGCAGTGGCATCCCGGGTGTACTCTATAACCGTTTGCGTAGTTGATGGGAGAAAAGTCTCGAAGGGCAACACTGGGGGATATTATTGTAAGTGCCCTCCAGGCGATAATGATGCGCCTGCTCAATTGGCCTCTGCTACAGCAGCGGTCGCCCGCTTTACTCAGTTCGTAAAAGTTACGATGCCCGGGGGTATGTTATCAATTTGGACTTGTTACGGAACAAGGCGACGAAAGCAAAAGCCCGCCGAGAGTGTCTATATAACTGCTATCGCAATAATAACGTTTTTTTACTGTAACGTAAGTGTTTTTGGTTAGCTTTGCCTTCAGTCCCCCTTTTTAATATGCACGTTTACTTTCCTCCTTTTCGTACTGAACCTGCATATAACAAAAACCTCTTTGTAACGAATTTTCCCAGGAATTTATCAATTTCGTTACATCCAGGTTTAACTGTAATTTGCATTAAGGCAACAGGCAGCACATTTTGTTTAGTATGCAACACTGGATTCAAAATAGCGGTTTGCCTTATAGCGTATAGCATTACGATTTGTTGCTATCACATTATTCGCTTCACCATTGGGTAACAAATTTGTTTTGTACTGTCATGAACGTTGACAGAGAGTTCACCAGGTTTAGCAGCTAACTTGAACTCGCAAAGCCATGCACGAAAGCAGCTAATGAAAGCACCACAGACTCCTTGAGAGTAGTTCCGGCAGAATAATGTGTTCTGAAGTCGAATGACGAGCCTAAGCGGATGGGCGCAGCGTGGCGCAAATGACACAGCACTTCCACATCTGTGCTCAGAGTCACAATGCCCGCTGACAAACAGGCGTGGATTCCTGCTCTCTTTAATCCCCCCCCCCCCCCCCCAATGCTTTCAGTGTACTCATGGGTAAAAAGAGAGAGCGAAAATGATTAAAGCGTGGGACAAGTCCCTGTAACTCCCCTCGTATTTAACAGATTCTAAACATTTTTGTGGTACAGTCAATTTGAGAAGCAATAAAGTCTTTTAAAGAGCTCCCTAAACCACCTCCAATATCTCTTCAAACATTTCACGCAAACATGCGCATTGTGTGTGGAATGCCCTTGTGATCAATGATACTACATGTGGCAGTGCTATGAGCCACAGGCATTCCATAAATTCCAAGAAACAATCCTTCCCCCTCTTTGGGTTTTCCGGGTCTCCATTTGACACAGATAGACCTCTGATGCGCAGTACGAACATGCTGTGATTGGTCAAGCAAGAGCCCATAACTTCAGGTTAGTCTGCAAGCAGCTGTCCACCCTGCCTGTTGTTGTTCATCATGTTACACATGTGCGTGCGCTTGTTTGCGAATCAGTTACTGCTGCCCATAACACAGGGTCCATACCGGCACGATTTCTATAAGCATGAGCCAGCACGGCAGCAGTGTTTCACCAACAAGCACGCAGTTGACAGAATCCACAAAAAAAAAGGAGTCACGGCAACCAGAAGTACTGTATTTACTCGCATAATGACCTCCCCCCCTTGGTCCTTGAAGAAAAAAAAAACTGATTTTTTTAATGTAGCTGTGTATATTATTCCGGTGTGATTTCCAGTGCCATTGAATATCAAAATGATGTTAAAATGATGCCATTATATTACAGAATAATGATGCAATAAAAGTCGAAACATAGTTTAACAACCATGCTAAACAGTTGCGAGCAGCACGAGTGTGGATGCCGTCAATAAAAATTTAAATGTCGCGCCTTTCGCGGCAGGGCGCCATCTGATGAACGAACAAAAAACCTTCTGCTTGTAGAGCCATGCAAGCACGGCGGTGAGAAAACAAAGTAAAAAACAAAGCGCAACCAAGTCCACCACGATGTGCACCCACAACCCCATCCGATGCTGCATTTTTGTTGACGATCGGCCGCTACTCTAGCAACACGGCCAATTTTAACCTAAACTTGGTCTAGCATGTGCTGCAGCATGAGAACCGAGCGGCTGGTGACATTTTCAGCATCGATTTCTGCGCATTGTCCTGTACACGCGCTATCTGCAAAGCTGTGTCACATGTGCCGAGACACCTGCCGCAAGCAAGCAAAGAGTGAACGAGCATCACCAATACACTCTCTCCCTGCACTTGCGTGCGGTAGGTGTCCCGTCATGCGCGGCGCAGATAGTGCATGTAAAGCTCAGGGCTACAAAAAAAGTTTGTCGCGCACTTTTCAGGCCAGAACAAGGGCAGTTTCCCCTTGCGGAGAGCGTCCTGCCACTGAATTGACAGCCAGCAGCCGTTGGACGGGAAGTTTTTCATGCCATTATGTGAAGTTTTTGCTGTTTTATAACTTCCTTCACTTTTTTCTCCCACCTACCCCTAATTGGTGTAAACTTTTCTGTAAAAAAGATGGGTTCATTATGCGAGTAAATACAGTAATATGAAAGGGTTGATACTTAAGAAAGTTGGTGTGGATTCATTAAAAAAAAATTATAACAGCGCATAGAATTATTAGGAAAGGAAGAGACATTAGAGGCAAAGAGCGCTGGCTTCATCTAACTTGTGAGGTCGAAGCTGATTTGATACATAAACTAGATGATAGGTTTTTTGATAATGCTCAAAAAGTAATGCGGGGCCCCTTTAATCAAGCCATTTGATGATTACATGAAAGATTTTTGCAGGGCACCTTTAAACTAGGTTTCTCACTGGTTCCGAATTTTGTTAGTATAAGTGCAACTCATGCGAGACCACAGTTCACTTACTTTCTCACAGTGCTCCATGAACTCGGCCAAGTTGAGCAATGTCTGGGTGATCTCTGGAATATCCTGGTCCATCAGGGCTTTCTGGAAGTTCTCTATTATCTCTTTCTGATCGTTTTCACTGAGGCACACCCAACAGGACAAGAAGGCAGCGTTGAAGAGGTCCCTGGCCAGAACAACGAGATTTGCAATGAAACCAAGTTTCAGACTTTTCTAGAGCAATAACCCAAGTCAGTGCAGCACACCTACACAAAAAGCTATACCAAAGGACAAAGACTTAGAATGGAGAACAGGGAGAGTAATGGATGGAATATTACAGTTAAACCTTGAGGTAACAAAGTACAAAAAAATCAGTAGCTTGCTTTCTTATGTCAAAACTAGTGTCGTGTTAGCACAACTTTGAGAGCAAAGAAAATTGGAGTATTGAAATGTGAGTGCGATTCGAATAAAATATTTTCCTAATACTTCTTGAATATTTCTAGAATATTTTTAGAATACTTCAAAGAAAAGTTGCACAAAAAAAAATGTTGGAGAGGTTTCCTAAGCATATTGTTAAGAAAAATGAAAGTGTTTCATTTGGCTAGGTTAGTGAAGCGCTGGTGGGGCGGTGTTTTGTAGTTCTCTTATCAAGAGTGCAGAGGGCAAATTGTAGTTGATTTGGCACAACCAAAGTGCTGCTGTTAAGATTTTACATATGAAAGGCAACGATACTATTTCCTCAGCATCTTTCAACTTCTAATGCAGCGAACAAGGGTCCACTACCTCTGAGTCCGGAGTTCCAAACCTGCCTCTCAAACGTCAGTATATAGGAACACCTAAAACATTAAACGATAAAAATCTTTAGTATCAAATTTTTTGGACTTCCTGCCCAAAACTTCAGGCTCATGGAAGCATTAATTAAGCCCACACCACTGCCACATCTATCATCTCTATGTTGGAACCAGCATTTTTTTGAGTCTGCACATTGAAGATTGTAGAAGACCTTGAAAGGCAGTTTTGCCGTAATACGAAAACTTGCTGGGGTCAAGCATATTGAAAACTAGAAGGAGCGACTGCCAATCTAATGCAGGCTATAATTGTCTTTGAGAAATTAGAATAGTTTGAATAGCAAAATTTCAGTACGAAAAAAAACAACTGAATAGCAAACAATATTAAAAAAAATATTTGAAATTTCTAATATTCACACAACCCTAGCCAAACTTTAGTGTATTGAAATCAGAACTTTTACGCAAAGTGTAGAGTGGCTATTAAATTCTTTTTTTCTTTTGAGAAAAGTGACCACAGAAATGTCCGTATTGTAGAGCAATACCGAAAAATTAGCAAGTTATATAACATCAAAAACCGATTTTGCTAATCCTGGAATACGGTGACAATGACCCACTGCCGTGCTGGCAAGGTGTTCGTAGCTGCCATACGTTACATGTAAGGCTGACATACCATATTTACTCGCGTAATAAACATACTTTTTTCTCGAAAAATTGGAGCAAAGTTAGGGGATGGGTTTATTGCACGGGGTAAATTTTATAAAAACTTTCGCAAGAGGAGCGAAAAATGCACATAAAAAAAGTTTGGTCGCTTAGCTTTTCGCGATTTACATACGTGTACACCGTTTGGAAACACCTTCTTTGTTGCACTTTACTCATCTTGGGAGGTTGATGGCGCTATCTTCTGCAAGCTGTCCCCGGGCCGCCCGCGCATGCCATAAAGGGGTTTTACGGCAATCTTTTCTCGCAATCATTTAACCGCAACAGTGGTATCTGCTGTGATCTCGAGGGGCGCCCAAAAGCATGCTCTATGACGCACTTTGCCAACTTTGCGGCAACCTCGCACAACGACCGTGACGACGTCGTTAACATTGTAGCAAGTAAACAGCATTGCAGCAAGCTACCCCTGAAGCATCAAAACAAATTGTTGATAACAAGATTAACGACAAAATACTTCTGCCGCTTCACTTCTACATGATAAGTTTCTGTACGCGCGAATAACAAGTGAAGCAAGAATCGGGGTTCCTACCATGTTGTTGAAATCGTCACGATATTTTCTGGATGACAAGTGATTTTTTTTTTGTTTTCTAGAAACGTGCAACGCAATAGCAACAAATGACCCTTCGCAACAGCAAATCCTGTCGTCACTCAAAAACGGCATGCACATTGTTGGGCTTTTTCATATTCACAGCCACCGTCGGTTGGCACGGGCAGTTTCGTGACCTTCGCTCGCTGTGTGATTATCAGCTGTGATGTCTCTATACTCGCACTGTTTGTGAGCCCCGCTGTGGTGCGAAGATAAAGACAGGAGACGTGCTGCGCACAGGTAAAACAAAAACAATACCGCACACGGCAACGGGCGAAGGGGGGCTTGCTCTCAGCCGAGGTGGCTGAGGGGGGTCGGCAAAATAAAAAAAAATAGAAGAGATCCAATGGGTGAGGAGGCGCCAGGTGTTGGTGAGCGGAACTGCAGCGGATCAATGTAGGGGGTGCATTTATTACGCGGGAAAAAAATAAATCCCATTTTTGATGACTGAAGTAGTGGGTGTGTTTATTATGCAAATGCGCTCATTTTGTGAGCGAATACGGTAAATACTGGTCTGAGACCCTGTGGTAGTTGGTGTAAGTGAAGCTATTTTGCCATCTTACTTGCGATCATAACCTTGGGTGTTGCTCGGAGTGGTACAACACCCAAGTTGTGTCTTCACCAAACCAAATGACCCTCTCCACAAACTTTGGTAAATAAATGCACAGCGTCGAAAATTGCCACTTGTCACAAAAATAACAAGAACCTTGATTTAGAGTCAGACGAAAGCAATGGGCTAAGCAAACGCCTCCTATATTTCAATGCCAGTGCAAACGCCCGCTTCTCAACGGGAGTGTCGGTCCACCTTAATTCAGGGAGTGGTCATAATGCAGAGCTATAACAGGGGTCGCGCTGCTCATGTCACATGTGCGTCCAAGCCCTTTCTTACGAAGATGGAACAGACATGTTTCCCACACCAATATCATACGTCTGTCAGATTCGCTCCTTCATGCTGCTTCTTTCTGGCTTAAGACAATGCCGTCGCCGCGTCACAGAGCAGCGCATGCAGAAACATTGCAGTGACGCTTTCCCATTAGTTGCCCGCATAGCGCCATCAAAAGCGACACGCCATCTCAAGACACCGTATATTTAACAAAGCTAGCGTGACTACCGATATTGTGAAGACAAGGAATGAAAGACGCTGCCCCACGGATCTGTACACAACTGAGCAAAAAATTACTTCATATGATTTCCATGTTGAGGCAGTGCATAAGAGACTACTCTTCCCCACGACTGCAAAGCATACCCAAAGGCTAGGCGATGGGAGAGAGTGGGAAAGGACTAGAGGAGAGGGTGGTGAATAGCTGGATCGGGCGCATCTGGCTAACATTGACAAAATAGAGGAGGCGTCAGCTAAGCAAAGCTTTCAACTTTTGTTCACGGCAGCCATTTGGTGACAATGAGCATGCTTTACCCAGAAGGAATGAAGCAAGATGCAGTACGGTGCCACAAATTTGGTGATTGGTATGCATTAGTTCACCAGACGCTTCTTAAGGGGGCAGACTGGTCTTTGGGACCAAAAAGTGACAAAAAATTCATTTTTTAAAATTGACATATTTGGTTTCTGCAAGTATTTTTATATCTCTCTACAAATTTTCACGCACCAGGAAGTAGTAATTTTTTTGTATTGTCATTGTGACTGTCCAGATTCTTGGTGCTGTTAACATGCAGAACCAGTGAAAAAATGGGGAACCCTCTTTGAGGCTTCTTTATAATTTGCCAGCACCTGTGTCTACTACCGATTTATGAGCGCCTTTATGACCGCTTTACCGATTTATGAGCGATTTATGAGCGCCTTTGCCCGCACCTGTCTCTACTACCGATGTATGAGCGCCTTTATGAGGATTGCAAGACATGTCCACCATGATTTTCGCTTCTTGAAGAAACTGTGTTCTCAGTTTTTTCCATTTTTCTCAAAAAAGTAAATTTGTGACTATTCAATTTTGAGGCCTCAATATCTCTGCAGCTGGGGCAGGTACAACAATAATTCTCTTTGCAGTGAGAACTTGCATGTGTGCAGAATGCAAGTATGAGAGCACAATTTAGAGCACATGCCTTTTAATTAATTATTAATCAAAATTGTAACATATTTCCAACTGCATAAGAAAATGAATAGTTCATTTTACTGCAAAATAACCAGTAAGGCCCAAAAACAAAAAAAAAACTCTTTCATACTTTCATTCTATAGTCATTAGTCTATGTTGGCATATCTTAAATATGACTTTTAATTCAGCCATTTTTTATGGCGGCCTTAAACAATAGGGGTGAACTTAAGTCATCTCAGGAACAAGGTGAGTTAGAGGAAAAGTAATTAAATAATTGAAATCAGCAGGAAAAACTGCATAACCCTGTGCAGTTTGATCAAGATCACTCAAGAAATAAACAAAAAAATGTCTAAGGCCAGTCTGCCCCCTTAAGGGGAGATGCTACTCGAAAAACGATTTTCTTTAATAAAAGTCTGAATTTTACACAAATTGCCATGCTAATAGAGTTTTTTCTCCTCTTTTCAAATTTGTCATTTATTTTCATGTAGATTGCTTGGTTTTCTTTCTGCAGGTCAGATACTGCAAAATTATGGCCATTGTTATGCAACAATTCTGACCTATAAAAATTTGAGATAAAGCATGCAGATATAGCTGACTATGATCCTTTGGAACTGTAGAGTGCAAAAAACTATATAAATTTTGTGTGTAAAAAGGTGAAATACAATAATAAAATAGAAAAATTTACTATGGCTCTAGTTGCCAAGGGCTTTCAATGTTATGTAATTTTTGAAAAACATAATCAAGCAGCACTGACAATCTGAATAGATACTTACACTCTATGGGCCTTCATCATGCTATGTGCAAAATTTCATAGAGGTATGACAATTCTAAGTATACGAACTAGCGGGTATAAGAAGCACAGATCACACAAAACTGCAAAAGGAGAAAAACGCATTTGAAAGTTTGAAACCTTTTTTTTTTATCACAGAGTTGTTAGAAATGCATAATCTTTGGCCATAATGTTCAACAGAACTTTGAAAAGCACTGCAAGTTACTAGAACTGTCCTGCAGCATAGGTTGTGCCCTCACGGTCCTTGCGAGCACTCTCTTCTAGCCGTGCCCTTTTCACTCCACGACGACGGTGGGCCCTTGCTTCTGCTGTCAGACGCTCGGACATTCTCTTGATGCGCCTCGCATCGCGGGAATCACTGAAAGTAACTAGATCTCTAGATGGCAGTATGTTTAGCTCTTCCAGGATGTGCTCGAAAGTAGCATGACCCTTGTTGAACCACAGGATTGCCATAGCTGCGGCAGTCTCGACAACCGTTCGGGAGACAAACTTAGTCTTGGGGCAAAGTAGCCAAATTTTGCTGTTCAGGGATTCCGATGCGTTCTGGGTTTTCCCTTTGATGCATCGAGCAAGGAGCTTCTCATCCGTTAGCCGCTTATAAATGGGCAAAACAGCCAATCCCTGTGCTTTTGTCAGGAGAGGTGTGTGACGTGGTGCAGGTTCACCAAGTGCTTTGGCGCGTTGATGTTTGCACCACGACTCTGTTCCTGCAGGGCAAAACTTGTGGCTGCCAGCATTGTCAGTAGAGCATGAGTGGAAGTACGAAGCCTATACTGCAGTGTACATATCCCGTACACTCCCCCTGTTGCTTGTTATGGCAATCTGATAGTATGTTTGGAGCTTCTGAATGGCTGGCTCTTTCATTTTCTGCCCTCGTGGTAATGGCACATGCAGCTTCCGTAGCGCGGTGCCAAGTCTCTTGCCCACATGATTAGTGCAGTCTTCTTTTTCTATATTGACAGCACCATAGACTTTTGACTCTGCAACTGCACTATATGCTTTGCTGTCACCGTCACTCAAGAATGTCATGAAATGCAGTGGGGTGTCATAAGTCAATGTTCTCTGCCAAATGCGCATTGCAGCCTCCGTTTCCATGGCATGGGAGGAACAGTCTGCATTTTTTTCACAGACTAGGCCATGGAATGCCTGCCACACTTCCTCGTCTGGGCCCATATCCTTGTGCCTACTGCATGTCAGGCAGTAATTTGATATGACCTCAAAGTCTAAGCAGAGGCCAGTATCTAAGGAGATAACTGCGCCAATCCCATTGTGGCTTTTGTGGCCCCTCCTCTGCCAAGTGCTGTCGAACATAAGAGCCACATCAGTTTCGCCTGCTACTTCTTTCGTCAACTCTCTGGATCGGCGCAAGGTGTGCACCTTCTTTGCTATCGAAAAAAATTCTCGGTGGTGCATTGGCTTTGGGAGTCCAATAATGGAGCAAAATCTCGACAATTGCTCATGCCCAATGCCGACAGCGCGTGCAGCCACCACCGCCTTCACATTTACAGCGAAACTATCTCGAGAGCTCCCACTGTCGTACCGTTGGCTCACTCGGCTGCTGCCGTCCGCCGTAACACGCAGTGACGTATAGCAGCACGAAAGAACAGTCACTAAGCATTCGCTGTTTTTGCAATGAAGTTCGAGGAGTGACGAAAGCACCTTGCGCTTTTCTGCCGGCTCCCGAACGGCAAGTTTTTGAATACCGCAAGCAGGGCATGGCGCACCTGCCACAAGTGCCGTCAGCAAGAGGGTGTCGCACAAAACTGTCGTTGCACAAACCTCATCGCGCTGTCTTTCGTCTTTTTCGAAGAAGCCGAGCTTCTTTTCCGAAGCACTGACGAAAGAAAGTGCAGCGTCAATCACTTCATCGCAGCCACTGTCGCTCGCGCACTCGTCGATGCCGCCGTCAGGCCTAGCACACGTAGGCGCGTTCTCGTTCGTCGCCGTCGTTCGGGGCGCTTTACGCCGCCTTACCTTGAACTTGTGCTTCGTTCGAAACTTCTGCGGTCTCACGTTGCACTTTTTCGGGCTTGTCATCGCGGAAATATGCGTAGACGCGCAGAAAAGCAGACGGACCAAATGCTGATGGCCGCCACCAACACAGCTGACAATGACTCGGTAGCCAATGGCGATGCGGCTTAGGGTGCCGCGCGTTTCAAACCGACAAACCACGTGATAAAAAGGCCTCGTTTTTTATTTTTTTTGCCCACGTACGAAACTGGCGGTCGTCGGAGCTGTAAGAAGAAGGCCAAACACAACTTTCCCAGCCGATCGCGATGGCGGGCGGCACTGCGACGGGGAGCAGCGCGCAGTCAAAGATGGCCAATATCGAAGCAAATTCACGAAATTTTGAGCCACCGCGATGCCTCCATACACATTTTTTTGCATTTTGCGATTCGAATTTAGTTTTAAAATTTTCACAGATGAAAGAAGAAGGTTTGAAGATTACAATGCAATAAAAATCAGAAATACGAGAAATTTCGCTAAAAACGCGATTTTTCAACTCGCATCTCCCCTTAAAGGGAGATGATGCTACTCGAATACACTCTTTTTTTTAAATATTCCCCCTTGAGCAATGAAACTTGAGCTGTTTATGGATTTTTTATGCTTATTTCAAATATATAATTAGTTTTCTTGCAAGTTGCTTACTTTTAGCTCTGTAAAATGACAAAGTGAAAACATTAACACTTTTGCCCCCCCCCCCCCCCCCTCTTTTCATCCTTAAACTTCTGTAATTTTTTATCATTCATACGTCATAATGTTTCAAATAGAATACAATTACTTAATTAAGCACATACAAAATATGTAATAGGCATACAAAATAATACACGTGAAAAAGTCCATATTTCTTTTACCGTAATAAAGGTTTACATACATTTTTCTATTATAAAATAAAATTTTGAAATTTAAACTAGATAATTGCATTTGCATATTTTGGGAAAGATTTGGGCAAAAATTCATGCAGATCCGAGCACTAGAAGTGCCCGAAAAAAAAAGGGGCACATTGAAAAAAAAGAAAAACTTTTGTTTTGAGAAGAAAGAGTTTTAAAGTTAAAATTGAGTTTTTATTTATGTAAGATGTCTATAAATGGAATGAAATATACACATCAAAAACAGCAATCCTTCTTGTAGCGGCCACTGCCACTAAAATATGTCAGCACCACGAGTTTGTCTTTCTCGGCTTTTTCGAGCTGACTCCTTACAGACATTTCGCTCACAGACAGGGTCGTGAAACGCTTGTAAAACTTTTTCCGCTCCATCTCGCAGAGCTTTGTGCCTACTGCAAGCTAGGAAGAAGTTCGACAGGACTGCAAAATCTAAACTAAGTCCAGTGTCGAGGGACACAACAGTGCTGATGTCATTTCGCGGCCACGTTTGTGCCACATGCCGTCGTACATAATGGCATTGTCGTCCCCGCTAAGCTTCCTCATGTGAGTTGCTTCGACCTCGCAAGATTGGCACTGACATCATCCATTGCCGCATCACAAACTATCCGGCTGATGGCTGTGAATGTCTTTTGATGCATTGGCTTTTGCAAGCCAACTACTGCCATAAATCAAACAAGCTGCTCATATCCTATTCCTACAGAGCGCATCGCCACAACGACTTTCACGCGGGAGCAATGGCTTTTTTAATTGATAACGGAGATAAATACATTGCTTTCGGGGGTACTTTTGCAAGGCACTTGGCAATCATCGATGTAAAATTGTGCCAACTGTACAGGCCAATAACGTTATCACTTGGATACACCAACGTGCATGACCATAAACTGATGAGAATATTGCCGAACGTGATTGTTTACCAGGTGTGGGTGTCTTGAACAGCCGTAGCGAAACTAAGTTCAAAAATTGTAGCACTGCAGGAGCTCAAAAAACATTTTTTGTAGAATATCGGGGGCTGCAGTGCAAACATGGTAGTATGGCTGCATTAAGCAGGTGCTTTAAAAAGATGAGCGGCTGTTGCATGAATATAACTTTCCTCACAATTATTTGGTTTGAAAAGGAGGGGGGATGGGAGTGGGGTCCAAACTCAAGATCTTATATGGTATTGGGAATGGTCACAGGAAATCAACACTGTAGCTCACTTAAGCGCATTATTCAGCAGTACTATTAATGTAACCTTTTCAACTTTTCACATTACAAAATGGTACACAAGTAGTTAAGTAGTTTGAAAAGCTATTTTTTTAAGGGCGAAGTTCTTAAAGTGTGGGTTTGTCCATCGTAGCCACCTCTAGTACTGGGAGTACTCACTAGATGGCACCGCGGCACTCACTCCCACCACCAGCTCGTTCACGCGGCAGCAACTCGAGAGCGGCGGGCGCAACTCCACTAATACTCAGAGTGCTCCCCAGATGGTGCAGTGGCACCATCTAGTGAGCACTCTGAGTACTAGTAGCACCATCCTAGCAGCGCCATCGCCCGATTTATCTAGTGGGATTCACAGTTTACCGATGTACCTCTGGACCTTTGACCCCTCATAATCATTTACTCCGTGGATATGCTGTAACTTTTTTTCTGCTGAGAGCCACATTGGCCATGTAAAAATTTTTTACCACAACCCTGAGAGTGAGGCGGCACGAGCATAAAAGATTGGCTTAAGCCCTGACTGGTGTACTTTCTGACAGATTTGTTGGTCCAGCAAGGTTCGAACTCGAGAAAGTGTGAAGTGCATGTTCCCATGTAAAGGCCACATATTCTGTGCATGTGGACAACCTTTCTTATGAGTGTTAAGGCAAACCTTTCAAATGGTTATCAAACCAGGTAAAATGTGCAGCAAATGCCCTCACTTGGGGAGCTGGTTGTAACTGTGAGCGAGGGACCAACAGGAACGAAGGGCAGGTGATGGTGAGGCCTTGAGAAGCTCAATGCTTAGCCTTCTAAGCCATTCCAACCAGTCATCCTTAGAAACTCTCTTGGCTGGTGTCCACAACTGCAAAACGATAGACACATCACTGTAAAATACTGCAAATAAATAAGAGAGAACGGTAATAAACCGATTGAAAGTACATTTTCATGCAGCAGTGAAGGTAAAACTGAACCAACAGACTGAGTCAGAGAAGGCACATTGAGAATGTTCTATTCTTTTAATTAAAAATTAAAATACATAATTGTTACAAAGTGCTCAAAGAGAAGATAACTTCAGAGGCTTTTCTAGTCTTCACCTTCTTTTGGCTTTATGTGGCTGTAGAAAGCAAATAAAAAAAAGGAACTTTTTGACTACTGTTATTTCCCCCATAATAACTTTGCATTTCAAATCGCTTTTTTTAACAGAAACAAATTTTTCCTCTATTGTTATTGCATTGTCTGCTGTTCTTTATCCACACAAATATGTTTGCTCTTTCACACTTGACTGTAGATTGGAAGCAACCTGCTCACCCGCTCCAAGTTGGCCGAACAAACTTTCTGCTTCTTGACTGTTGTGATCTCTGTGTTTGATGCAGGCTGGTCCTCTGACTGCTGTCTGCTCCTGGGTTGCCGTTTGTCCACACCGAACGTTTCGTCATCGTCTATAAGACTGGTGCTCTGCATGGAAACGTGGCACTATAGTATTTTACATGTGCACTTTTCTTAAAGAGAAAGTATGCCTAAGCACTTAAAAAAATATTTGCTAACTCTTACAGAGGCAATTACCAAACAAAGTTAGTTAAGTGCCGGTATAATGAGGTCAGTAAAATTGACAATGTACCATATTTACCACAAGTGAACATTGACCTGTTTTATGAAAATCGGAAATCAAAAGGAGACGGGAGGGGGGGGGGGGGGGAGGGGTCTACTTACAACTGAAACCAGAACTAGTACTGCAACCAAAGACCAGACAAACAAGACGCCAAGAAGAGTTATGAAATGGCTGTAACATTACACTTGCTCTCCGACTCAAGCTGTCGCGTATATTTATTTTGCGTGTTGACGAAGTTTTCCTTCTCAACTCTTAAAGCCACTGTTCACCATAGGAAGTGTAGCTGCTAATTAGGAGAGATGCTCTTCAATCAACAATAGACACTCTACTACAGCCCCCCCCCCCCCCCCCCCCCTTTTTGGAGCCTAAATTATTGATGGAAGAGCCACTCTTCAATCACCAGTGGCACAAAGAACAGCAGCTCAGTGGTGGGCAGCCACCAGTATTTGATACAGAGACATGTACTTTACGCTTCTTTTTTGTCGTACGGTAATTGGGCGGGAATTAAAGTCTACACCCCCTTCCTCCCTTCACGCAATCCACTTCTTTGCTTTCGACCTTGTTATGCTTTCCACTGTCCCTACATGTGCTGCGTGTGCTTCGAGTACCAATGTTCACTGCAGGTGGAGGTTAAATTCTTCGAAAGTGCAATGTACCTTGCTTGTTTCCAGCCACTACTTGAAAGAACTAGTAAAAACTTGTGTGCACACATGTAAACACTGGGCATGAAAAAATTAAACAAAGCTTTCCTCTTTTTTTTTTTTCACCATGCCAGTGCTGTAAGGTTTGTAGAGTGATTGATAGTTTGACAATGCATGTCAACATGTCTTCCTTCAAACACAGCTTATTTGTACAATGATCTGGACAATGCAAGAAGTGTTAGCAATTGATTCTGCTTAACACAACAATTCCAAACTTGCAATCAACTAGATAAAATTAGATTAATACAACAGGCTTTGCTGTGCTCAAATTATTGTTCCATATGTTCCATATTGTTCCATCATGTTCCAAATAAAGTACGAATCGATAGCATGCCCCCGTACATGGTATGTTCTACCGGTGGGTAAAAGCATGAGAATGGGGGCAACGAACTTGGCTGAAGCATGGATAAAACGGACTGACCAATCTCCCTCAAACGGAGGGCACATGATATAACATCACCCCACGTGCGAGGCCTGGCATCAATATCTGCTCAAGCAGACGGGAAACCCAATCGCCCATCTTGAAGGAGCATGAAACAAGAGGGGGGAGTTGGCGACATGTTTTGCTCGAGCAGCTCCAAGTAAACTTTGATTATAAGAGCATTGTGGCAATGACTGGCACACACACTATTCTGACAGGCATCAGCAGACGGCTCGTACATATGCCCCTTCTATGTGTTGAGCTCTCAGTGTGAAGAAACTGTGCAATGACCGCTACTCTCACATCGGCGTTTTCAAGAGTTAAGCAAGATTAAATACAAATAGTGAGCTGCCACCTTTTTTTCATAGATCATTTAAATTTGTTGCTATCACATTTCCTGCTTCAAACAAAACACCCTTTTTGTTGTACTCACTCGAATGATTTTAGTGACTAGAGAATTGTACCGCTGGTGCACAATCTTGTGGTTGTCGATAACTCTGGTAACCAGTGGTAGAAAAATCTTGTACTTCTTGCCCAGCTGGACAACCATGGCACACAAGGTGTCCATAGCCTGCTGCAAAAACAGGCGTGCATGCACATATACATCAATGAACATGGCAATGGAAATCTTTATTATATGTAATAACAGAGTGTTCACATATGCAGTTTACAGGTGCAAGCAAAATGATCTTGAGAAAACTAGCACATTAGCGAAAATGGTACTATATATCTACAGACTGCTTTGGTTTACAAAGGCTCTTTCTATGTGGCTCTGACAAGAATTACAATGGCAAATGTCAATACATACAGGGTGTTTCAAGAAATGTGTCCAACATCGTAAGCAAATTAGGAAAAGACAATATTTTCTCTGCACCCACAGTTGCTGTTCCTGTAATGGCTTGCATAATCAAGAAGGTAGAAGACATCATCTGGAAGAGTAATTATCAAACCAAATCTTTAGTTCCACCTTATAGATAGAGATAGAGGACAACGAAAAAAAGTTGCCCAGAAGCAGCTAGACTAGTCTACAGCCCAACCTAATGTATGGTGGCGTGTGGCCAGCAACAAAGAAAAACAGTCAATTAGCAAGTCAAAACATACGATTCGTACAGAGTAATATACATATTAGCTTGAAAAAAAAAAAGCATGGACAAACACAGAAATATAATGCCAAGAGGAATAAAATTATTTTCAATTATTACACAGGTGCACTTCTCCGCCATTAACATATGTGCATCATGCATGCTATTATTGCAAATGCAGCCCACACACTTGCTCAGCAAAGTCGGTTGATGGTTGATATAATGACCCTGACTCATTCTGGGCCACCGAAGGTCGGTGACTTTCATTACTTCGCAATGATTATTAGAGGCCGCTTTTCCGAAATCTCCAAGCTGCAATAGGTTCTTCGCATGAAGAATTTAAATGTTGCTATTTCATTGACCGCCTAACACTGCTAGTTAAAAGTTAGTTACTTTAACCTTCTTAATTACTATCCCAAATGATGCCTTCAACCATCTTAAGATGCCTGCTGCAACAGAATAAGACACACACTACATTTTCCTGATTTTTAAAGAATATTGGACAGATTTCTTGAAACACCTGGCATAATGTACTTTGACAATAAGCACCTAGGATAACGAAAGACGGCAGGCTGCCTCGGTTCAAGAGCCAACACTGCATTACACTGAATTTCTGGTCAATTCTTTAGACAACCTATTTTTTAATGCAATAGGCTTGAAGAGCTCCTTTTGCGAAAATTTCGGCATCGGTGTCATGGGTTGTGAGAGAAAAATTGAGAAAGATGCAAGTAAAACAAATAATAAAATATTCTAGGTCCAAGTGGGGATAAAACCTAGGTCGTTTATGTGGCGAGCAAGTTTTTTAAAACACAGCCATGTGTCTGAGTGGGAATACAGTGAAAATAACTTTCATGCTCTGCAAATACATGTGTCTACACATGTATCACAATACAACATGAAATATTCAAGCAATAATGCATGGTACATGTGTATATTGCCATCGAGCATCAGAACATGCGATTATCATAATGACTTCATAGTTCAAAGCGATTCACCCACTACAAAAGGCACGTTACTGTGCATAATCCTTTAAGGCCACGTAGAGGGTGCATAGCAAGTTCAAAAAAAATTTCATGCACTAAGTGTTTAAAATATGCACTAGAGACAGAATATCGCTATCATATTCAACTCTTCAAGGCGAAGCTTAAGGGTCCCCCAATTTTAAATGCGAAGCATTTTTTAGCAAACTTCGGCGACTTTCAGCGTATCTATCTAGCCGCTTATGTTCAGGTGCTCTCTTGGTCACCCCCTTGACTTGGCGTGAACCAAAATCAGCATGGGGAGTAAGATATTTGACCATTACGACATGCTGGTCAAGACATGAATAATGCCACAATCCTAATGCGTACGTCGTCAAACACTTCCCGCCAGACAGTGGCAAATACCCACGGGTATGTGTCGCTTGTATGCAGGTATGCACCACAGATGATTGACACTTAGTATCTACCCAGAAACGACAAGAACACACATGGGTAATTTTAACGCGCGAGCGTTAAGAAATATACCAGACATCGGTAGCGTCGACCTGATGAATGCAAAGAATAAATGTCAGAGTCCCAGCTGGGATCAAACCCAAGCAATCTGGGTGGCAACGAAGCATTTCACCACAGAGCTACACCAGGTCTTGGAACTACTTTTCAAATAGACGCTAATCTTTATGAAACGTCAAGAGTGGTCGCAGTGCTGCCCACCCATTTTTATAAACATTACATATGTACTCTTCTGATACAGCCGTCACGTCGAGTTAACGTTGATTGTGGTTAGTTCCCATGTGCTGAAGTTGCTTTTTGTAGCAGTGTCCAGGGCCAGCATCCTCGCGAGCATCAGTGCTTCACATCAGCTTCTGGTGTTCCTAATACACATGTTCCAGTTGGCATCATTGCGCAAGTGCAAACAACTGGTTATATGGACATCTGCAACCCTTCAACATATGTCTATGCGTGCAACATTTGTACATATATTTAGCGTCATTTCAAGACGCGTCGCTCAATAAAAAAATTGCAACACGGTCACCTTCCCGCCGCATGCTTTGCATAACGTCATTTCCAAGTACAGTAGACTCTCACTAAACAGAACCCTAAGCAACCGGGAAAATGTGTTTCATTTAAAGGGACCATGAAATAGTTATGACGATTTTTTACAAACACGTTGGGCCGGTAGACTAAGTCCCAGGGGTAATTTTGGGAGTCATTTGAGTTCCCTGCATAAACTGTGCAATTTATTGCAACGCTTTGAAGCTGTGAATCGCTCCAGATCGCTGCGACTCGGCCAAACACATTTTCAATTGCCCATACACCAAGTGACACAATCTGTCCCACTGACATCATAGTTTCCAGCTGATCTGAAGGCTAAGGAACGTGCAGCACAGATTGTCGGTATCGGATTGGGGGCAGGATCTACACGTATGCGTTCTCACGCCACATCATGACGCAGGCGCTGTGAAGGTGGAGCTTGTCCCGAGCGCTCGAAGGAAGAGTTGAGGGCAGTTGAGGGTGAAAGGTGTAGTGGAGAAGGAGGGTACATTTTTTTAGTACTCGTAGCTCCGTAATAATGGGTGTTTCGATTGAACTCTGGTGCCAATGATTCACTTCAGTAGTGGTCTAATCAAAAACAGAATGTGAAAAAGCTATTTCAGGAACCCTTTAACACGAGTTCAGTTTACTGAGAGGTGAAGTGGGTCGCAGCATTCAACCATGAATCCAATCATATCAGAGAAAGTTGTCCCATTTAAGCAGCAGATCCGTTTAACAGATTTCCGTTTACTGAGAGTCTACTGTATGTAGGATCTGCTGAATTTTTGTCTCATCTTCATGTGGTACAGTGTGCCCCACTGTAACAACGGCTGCTCAAATTTCCAACCTCATACACCATGGCACACTATAAAACAATGATTCTCAAGTGGGTTCCAGGAAACCCAACCTTGAACAAAAGACAGAATGAAAGTAAAACTTCTTTTTTGAAGACATCATATCTAATGCCAGCTGCCCCTTTTGATTTCTGGTATGCTTCAGCGCTTTTGTTGAGATTTTTTACGACATATGCTTTTGTCAGGATTGCATATTTGAAAAGCAAGCATAGCTAAAACAGATGCAAAGTGGCTACAGGCAGCATAATTTATTGACAAGCTGCTGAGATTTGAATTCACGTGACGTATCAGCTTGCCCTCTTTACGTCACGAAAAAACAAAGGGCACCCATTTCACGCTGCATGCCGTGTTAATTTCTGGACCCCTTTCTTTTTCTGTCACCAGAAGGGGTCCATGAGACCGTCCATGACTGAGGACCACTGCCTTTAAGTCATCATTGACGATCAACTGCAAGGCATTGAATTAAGGAGCAGTTTCCCTCAAGAGATTTCTGTTTACTGTAATCCATTAGACAAAACGCCAGCAGAATAAAAAATAAATGAAACAAAAAATTGTCTGAAGTGAATGATGATGCCTGGGCAAACCAGTGGGATCGTTCGGTATTACCCTAAATCACCCGCGATATTGCCTACTCACACATGCAAATGAGAATGGTGTTCAGCTTTGTACACTCAAGCCTTGATATAACGAACGCGGATATAACAAAACCTCGTTTATAACGAAGTAAATAAAGAATAGTCTTGCAATAGCTGTAGTGTTAGGAATATACCTTTTCAACGAATTTTCGAATATAATGAAGTTATTTCCGAGTATGGTACAACTTTGTTATAATGATGTATGAGTGTACAATGTTCACTGGCGATAAATGATATGTCGTGTTGAGTTCTGTTTCTTCTTTAAAACTTTATTGTTTATCTTGTACATGACGCGAATGCGTCAGCCTGGCTATTCTCACGACAGAACAGGGAGGTCGAGCCTCCTCGCCCTGTCGTGGGCGTACTGGACAGCCAGGATTTGATTGTCATAAGCTGGTGACCTGATGAGCCTTTCGAAGTGTTCACACATAACACTGGGCCTCAGTGAACCGCAGTCCTAGAAAATGTGGTCTCATGTGCATGCATTTTTGTTGCAGGCTTTGCATGTAATTTTCATTTATTCCGCTCCATACCACTCCCAGATTTGAACTGGCAAGTAGAACGACTTTATTTATAGTTGTCTAAGTGTTATGGCTTGTGCTCTATTTGGGTTTGCGTGGGGGTGGGTATAAATTCTTCAGCCCAGATAGAAGTGTTTAATGCTTTCATTGTATGTGGTGAGTTTTTTTTGCGTAGTGGAATCAATCCAGTGGCGTCTGGGCCATTTGCATAAGCGTGCTAGTCAGTGAGCTGTGAATTTGTTCTGCCTCCATTATTACTGTTTTGTGGTATCGGATCTAGCCCGATGTTGGCAAGGACTAGGTCTGTGCACATTCTCCTAGAAGTTGTTGGTTGTGTCCAGTCATACGAACTGCATCGTAGAACATATTGAGATGTCATATACTGCCCAAGCCAGTCCTTGATCGTCCTCACGTGTAGTGGAAACCTTGCATGTGCTGTGCCATGATGGCAGAATGTGCGGTCTAGAACG